CCGGGCGCGGCCGGGCGGGAGGGAGCCGGCGCTGGGTTGGTGCCCCTCCCCACCGGTCCCATCCCGTCCTCATGGCGGAGCGAGGCCTGGCTCCCGGCTCCCGGCGCCGCCTTTGCCCTTGCCCCCAGAGGCACCGCGCGAGCCCGGCGGGCCGGGAAAACCCCCGGCTTTGGCTCCGGTTTTCGCTCGGCCGGTGGCACTCGGAGGCCCCCGGCCCTGGAGCGCAGCCCGGGTTACTGCTGCGTCCAGAGGTCAAGCTCGGCCGGCGGGGGGGGCTGCCACGGTGCTTTCAGACGCGGCCAGGCCGAGCCGTGCCAGCGCTGCCCCGGGCGGCTGGAGCAGGCTCCTCGGAGCTTCGTGCTGCCTCCATTTTCAGTGGGCGCGGCGGTAACGCCAAGGCTGCTTCTCCTTGAGTAAAGTCCCCGCGCGACTCCTCGTTCCTTTCCCTTTGCTAGCGCCCGTGGGGCTCCCGAGTGTGCCCTTCGCTGGCCCGCTCGGCGGCTGCCGCTGTCGCCCCTCGCTGCAGGGCCGCGGGGCTTGTCCGCACTCGAGATCTCGTTCGCGTGTCGCGCGGCCAGCATGCCTCCACAGCAGCTGCGTTTCCCGGGGGGGAGGAAGGCTTTGTTCCTGTTCAATTTAACCCACTTCAAAAAGAAAAGGGGGGAGGAAGGGGTCAGTCCTTCCTTTTGCCTGATTGTTAAGATGGGGAGAACCGGACCCTGCCCCAGGACTCCCGGTAGGTTTGCGCGAGGTCCCGCCCAGCCATACAAACCAAAAGCCATCTCGGAGCTGGGGCCTGCCTGAAACTGCGTTTTTAATATTTAATTTTTTTGAAATTTCGTGTTCGAGGCCAAATCGGTCCCAAAGTCTCTCGACCAGGCAGAGCTCCATCCTTCCAGTCTGTGGCGCTGCCACCGGCGAGTGTCCGGCCTCCCAGATGCTCCAGATAGTCCCGTATCCATGGCAGGCATCTCTCCCTGGGGTTTGAATGCCCCCTGGTCTCGCTTACCCGTAGCCAGAAGGCCGAAGGAGCAAGCTAGAGGGAAAGCCGGACAGACATCCCCCCTCACCAGAAACCATCTTGAACCCAAAACCTGAACCCGGCACTCGTGATGCGTCGGTCTCCCTGGCCGTGCCGGCCTTGCTCCAGATCTGGCTTGCTCTGGCATGGTCATCCCTCCCTGCCTTCACGTTTCTTTCCGTTTCCCTCCCAGTTCCTCGCCCAGCTCCTGATCTTTATGATCGGCGTGGTCAGCTCCATCTTCTGTGGCCATCTGGGAAAAGCCGAGCTGGATGCCGTGACGCTCGCTGTGTCGGTACGTATTGTTCTGTTGCTTTTAATGCTGGAGTTGTAACTTGGACGACGTCGGCTATAACGCCAACCACGTGTGTCGTCTCCAGGGGCTAACACCTTACTGCAGATGCTGCTGCTGGATGTTATCCCTGCAGTTGCAGCTGCTGGTAACAGGGAGGGCAGAAGGGTGGTGATGGGGAGCCAGGTTATGCATTTATCCCAGAGTCTGTTCCTCTGACTTCGAGTCACGCCACCGCGTCCTTGACGGAGCCCTGCCAGAACAGCGGGTGGGTGCAGAGTCCTCTTGAAGCCTTTGCTACTTTAGACGATGGGAACTTTGAAGTGGAAGAGGTGGGGGATGCTATATAAAGTGGCCTTAAAGGACATTACTTTGGGGGGGGGAAGAAAGGGACACTTCTAGTCACCGAGACCAGCTCGGCAGTGTCACCCAGTGGCCACACACCCTGCTGCAGATGGCTGGCTTTCCTCTCCTTGAGTTACTTCCCTCCCTCGCTGTTTCTTTTCCAGGTCATCAATGTCACCGGCATCTCCATTGGCTCTGGCCTAGCCTCAGCATGCGACACCCTCATGTCGCAGGTAGGTAACAGTCCTGCGGCTCCCCTTCTTTCTCCTGCCCTTGGGTCTCAAGCCTGGGAAGCTCCGTCTTGGGGTAAGAAGGCTGAGAACTGAATTCATCAGCATCTCGCCCTCCTATTTGGAGGCAGCAGGACCTTGCCCTCTGAGCACCTTTGCCTCTGCTCATCTCCACCACTGCCTGCACCTGGGGAGGGGGGAAGAAAAGCTGACTGGTCATATTGCACCCAGAGGAGGGGGTGCTAGAAAGTCAGGCGCTGCCTTGACTCCATTCACTTCGCCTTCTTTTGATTGCCTGCCACTGCTTCCCGCTGACCGGCGCGCGAGGCCGCTGCGTAAGGGCCGTTGGTAACTCACGCCTCTGCTTCTCCCTCAGACGTACGGCAGCAAGAACTTGAAGCAGGTGGGCACCATCCTGCAGCGCGGCATCCTCATCCTCTTGCTCTGCTGCTTCCCCTGCTGGGCTGTCTTCATCAACACCGAGAAGATCCTGCTCCTCTTCAAACAGGACCCAGAAGTCTCCAGGTCTGGCAGCAGATCCCATCTCGCGCCTGCTCTGATCTGGTCCCTTCTAGTGCAGACAGCAGGGCCTTCTGGGACTGAAGCATCCCCACTAGGCCTGCAGGAAACCCTGCGAGCCAAGAGCAGGCAGCGGGAGCAGCGTTAGGTGTTAAAGAGCCAGGCTTAAGTCCCTAGCAGAAGCTAAGGACTGCCCAGGACTTCATGCCCCACCGTCTGCCTTTGGCCCCTCTGGGTCCCGAGTCCTGGCTGAGTCAGGCTGGTGGACTGGGGAGGCAAGGGAGAGCGCACTGTTCAGCATGCGCCGTATGAAGAGGATGGTGATTGCTAGAGCTTTGCTTCAGCACTGTATTGAGAGAGACCTCCGTGGACTCTCCATTTCTGAGGCTCTTGCCTACAACATCTATCCCCTCCATATCCCCCTGGGCAGGGACTGAGGGTGCAGCTGAGAAATGGCCTTCATTTAAAGCCAAGTGGATTCCTGACAGCATATGTGCTTGGTTTGGCTCTTCCATTACTGTATTATTCACTGGGTGAGAACCTATTGCTCTTTTTTTTTTTTTATAATTTTGTTGTCC